TATTACCCAAATCTCGTGCAAACACTAATTGTAAATATGAATATGTTTTTTTGCGAATAGAGTGATGAAAAAGTGAGAGAAGAACGCGAGAGACGTAAACGAGAGGACGAAGAATTAAGACTGAAACAATTGGCAGCAGAGGAGGAGAGACAGAAGAGAATCGCTGCCGAATGGGAACGTAGAGAGCAGTTGGAGCAGCAGGTTGGGCTGGCTTGTTGGTTATTTGGTATTGCTATAGCACGATGAGTGCAAAAGATTATCATTCGTTTGTGAATTGCATTTGCAGATGGATCCCGGGGCACTCGAAGAGGAGATGAGACAACACGAGGCGACACACCATACTGGAGGTGAGGATATCGCTAGAGTTGTTTTTTGTTTAAATTAATTATTATTGTCGCGACTAGCGTGAAAAGCCAGAGGATACAATGATGATATAACTTAAAGAAGCGAGTACTTAAATCAAATAGAAATTAATGAGCAATGGGCGATAGTGTAGTGGTGTGAGGATGCTGGGCTTTTGGGATGCGATTGATCTGTTCAGAGGGCGTGAGTTCGATTCGATTGATCTGTTCAGAGGGCGTGAGTTCGATTCGATTGATCTGTTCAGAGGGTGTGAGCTCGATTCGATTTGCAGAACGAATCGATGCAAAGTCTTTGACAAATTTGATCTTTGCATTCAAGAGATCACAATCAAGAGCGCTTAGTTGCGACAATTATTATTGGAAGTTAGCAGATAGATCATTTGATTTTTCCTCGTTTCACTGATCGCGAGTGTATTTTGCTAAGGTGCTCCGAAACGTCATTCGCGTACGCCGGTCGGTGCCGTTCCAATAATGCCAGGCATACCGCAGTCTCCATCGCCCAGAGAGCCTCTAGCGAGTGCTACTCCGGAAGAGACTGCCGCCAACTACGGTGATGATCAAACGGCAGGCAGATGCGGGCAGCCGATGGCCGAGCCGATTAAACTGCCCGAATTCAATCCAGCTGCAACAACCATGAGATCAGCAGCCACTCAACAACAACGTATGCGAAATTATATTGCTCTTCAAACTGCGTTTATTGAGTTGTCTGAAAACACTGAGCACTCTTTTTGAGCAGAAACCCGAGCGATCTGTTGAAAAAATTTAATGTAGAGATGAAAATCACAGTTTTAGCAGTTGGACAACTGCTAAGACCTTGAACGATCCACTTGAAACGTTTGTGGATTGCGTGAATGTGAGAAATCACTTTTTTTTGTCAAAGGTCACGGCACTTTTTTACTTTGGGGGGGGTCGCACGCGAGCAAGCTCGCGCGTGCCACGCCCATTGCGCATGGCTTCAGCCCAAGCG